GGATGCCGAGTACCTCTTTCTTCACTGTCATTTTGAACACTAAACTATTTGATCTGCTTATGTCACATGTCTATCCTCGGCATTTTCCTAGAGAGATGATGACGGTGCGTACATTAGCGCTTCTTTGTGTCTTTTCAACGATAATGGTCTGGTTACGATTGCGCAAAAAAATAGATGTTCATGGACAATTTTATGCTGATGTAGACACAACAACGCCAGGTTTTCTGCTGTTACATTCGCTATGGTGATACTCCGCTAACAGCGCTCAACAGACAATATCTTCTCTCGCTAGTCATAACGATAACCGCGTGTCCAACCAATCTTTATCTTTAGGTCTTTGGTAGAGTAAGAGCTTTTGGTCAACAGTCAATCCTTTATCCTTCAACTGTGTTCGTGCCGTGCCGATCGCGAATAACGGATTCATAAAGTAGCTGTATAGGACTTTGAACATAGTATACCAGTGCTTTTGTTTTCGAAGAAACTATACTGTAGTCGGGAGGCTGCAGCCGAGTCGTTAGTGATGCACATGCGAGGAACTATTGTGATAGTTCTACACCTTCTCTTCCACTCCCCTGCAGTCACTTGTGAACGCCTTAGCCTGGCTATCCCCAAAATTACAAAATGTACTCGACCACCATTATACGACAAAAGACGAAATTATCAAGAAGCAGTCGAAACAACATACAAGATGATCGATGTACTTTGAGACGACGAAGCGAGTAAACAGATAGAATGCGAATTCATAGATTCCGCAAAATAAAATGTAACATAAAATCGTATGAAAATACGGTAGTTTTTATAGCTCTCATGTGATTCAAACAAGCGAGACAGAAGACTATTGTTTCTTACTATCGACTGTTCATATAGACCTCGCTCAATGACAACAATATTTTGGTGATGTGATAACAAGTTTTGAACATTCGTGAGGTCCGGTTTGGCATTTATACAGTAGTAAACACATTTTTCTTCTTTCCAGGATCGTCAATAGCATGATGACTTTCTGTTCAGCAGATCCTTTGGAGAGGATATATCTCCTACTTATAGAGGAATCGACGCCGAATTTTTCAAATCATTGCACATCGAGTGACAAAATCCTCCGACATTGCAGTGACCACAGTCGAGCGCTTATGGCCGGTGGAAAAAATAAACCTTTACCAGGCCCTATTCAGAAACAGCAAAAACCTGATAATCGCAAAGTCTTGAGCCTTTTGTGAGGTCTAGCGAGGCTTTTATGCGGTGCTAGACACGTGTTTCGTCATTCCAAACTCTTCAGTGGCACGGTGCCATGCATGTCGGAGGATTTTGTCACTCGACATCTAGTGATTTAAATAATTTGACGCCGATTCCCTTCATACGTAGGGGTGTATCCTTTGAAAGGAATTGGCTGAAGCAAAAGTCACCATGCCACTGAAAAGCCTGGAAAGGCGAAACCCTTTCCTGATACTGTAAAAGTGCCATATCAGACCTCACAAAAGGCTTAAAACATGCTATTGGATTAACTGGTTACTACAGCTTTTTTCAATATAGCATCATAGCACTTCCATAAAAACGATAATCTAAATAATTCGGGTATATTGCTGTTGTATTTCTTGCGAGTATAATCAAGAGGCCGAACTATGTTGTTCCACATGAATTCTTTTCGCAGCTGCTTTAGTAATGGTCTCTTAGACCGTCTTCATCAGCAAGACAGCTAAATAGGTGAAAAATGCTCTTATATTCAAAATACGTCCAGGTAATGCATGTGTTTCCTATATTTAGGGAAATTACACGAGTCTGCCTTTTCAGAAAAGTTCCAAAGGAGCTGCTCGAAAACCTATACTGATTTAGGTTATTCTCCACGTCACTAGAGAACACGGAAGTTGCGTACATCATAAAATTTCTTTTGTGCATCGGTAGTACTAACCACACTATATGCAACCTCAAGCAGACTACACACGTCCCGTCAGCAGGCAGTACGAATACTACAGGCATTTTCAAACGAGGTACACTTCGTCTTCACCATCGAAATGGTAATGGGATCCGCAATCGTAACAAGGACTAGTCGCGCTGGCATTCTGGTTTTTCGGAATTTTTTGCCTCAAATTTCATGACGATCCCGATTCCTCTACTATTTTTGGCGCAAAATATTTATGCTCTTTCTACTGGAATGAGTACTAGTTGAAAAACGGTCACTAAAAAACATATCCTAAATCGCTTTTTTGATGTGAGAAATGCTCTTGTTCAAAAACTTAGTGAGCCTTGATGTTTGTTTTATTTATGATAATTCAATAAATTGATATAAAACCAATTTTTAGATATTCTGCAAGAATCTCGGCCGTACGGTGTCACTGTGGCTATAGCTGTTCTTTTGGTGATCTCGTCTCTATCGCTTTTTGCTATTGTCTTTCTTGTCATGTTGGTTTACGTTCAAAACAAAAGTAAATCTAGCTATTCGATGTCAAAATATACACCCTGTTGACCTAACGACCTCTCGCGATTTCATAGAACTCGTCCAGAGCAGTACTATTTTTTTTATTCACTGACTTTTAATGTTATATTCGGATAGTTCTTTGTTCTTGTGATGTTTGATTATGATTGGAATGCTGTTGTTAATTGTTTGAGCTGCCACACATTTCTACGGATATCACAGTGAGCACATAGATGTTTCAATAAATCTTATGAATTTGGTAAAGATATTTTTGAAGAACCGACTTATCAATTCTCACTATAGTTCTCAGTTAGAAGCTGCTCAAAGTTAATTCACACAGGAAAAATTATGGTAGTTCTTCGTTAGACGACATAGGATAAAGAAACGGCTTGTTTCGCTGGACACGAACTTTTCATAAGAGTGGTAGTGACCATTCAAAGGTTCAGATATTTGACTAATGTGCCACGTACTCCTTTTTTGAGAAGACCCCTGCAACTCTATAACACTCAAAATAAAATTATGTTTTACATCGGCCTCGCACTTTCCTATTACTTCGCTAGAAGCTTGGAAAGCATATGAACGTATAGAGAATCTTGTAGTGTCAGAGTCATACGTTTCGTCTAGCGTTCCTTTCATATCGGAGAAAAAAATCCTGGATTAAACAACAAAATTTGCTCTCTAAGTGCCCGTCGCGCGACCGATCAATTGATCGCGGAACGCCGTATCGAATCCACGGCCGCCAAACACCCAGCCCACACATTAGGCAATAAACAAGTGAGCCACGTTTGTGAAATTCGGTCTTATCTACCCTGCTACATTTCACTGAAGAAGTCTGTCCAGAAAATAAACATAGCGCTGGAATCGTGAAAACTTACTCAAAAACCCACACGATTTTTATCTGTTACGGCTATAAGGAAAGTTATAAAAAGGTTTTTTCAAGAAACCGCCAAGCAGCACAGTAGCCGGGGATTTGAAATTTCGAACGATTACCAACAATCTCAAGAAAAACTTCTGTCCAGCAAAAAGGATCGCTTCTTCAAACGTTGCCGTTGACTTAAAAGAACCAAAATCATCACTGGCTGCTAGCTATTGGTGTCAGAATGACGTTGAGATTTGTCTTCGGATAACATAACCATACTCGCAATGATACAGCGCTCTTAAAAACAACGCTTACAGAGCCATTCGATAGAAGAACTAGCTAACATTGCAACGTTTTGATGTTTTGTAGTTTGATCGCATTATCTCTAGATTCTAACTTAGTACTCTGTGTGTTAAACAACATCCCGACCAGCTTTCGTAGTGTTAAGTTTATTTACTCGTTCGATTCTTTTACGCTCATGATCCTCGTAACAATGATACTGTTGAGATGCGAATACGGACGAATACAAATTTAATTCACTGTGATAGGCTCTGAGGTAGTAGTTCGTCTAAAGTGCTGTGTGAACATCAAGCCAGTGTTGTTGCCCTCCCAAGCAAACCTGGTACCGATCTGCCGCTCGAGAGAGATGGAAGGCTTGACTGACCGAGAGCGTAGCAGTAAATAAGCCAGGGTTCCAGTGCGTATTACAGAGCACACAGCAAGTAATACGAAGTACTAAGAACCATGAACATGTTAGTGCAAAAAAATAGGGAGCAAAATAGCATACCTATGTGTTTAATGGCTAATATTGTCATCTAGAATCACCATACTTGGGAATATAAGGCATATAATAAATCTCAAAACCATCGTCGCTCATTTACGATTGGACAGAGTTTACCATTAAGCACGAAGCTTAAGCGTAAATTAATTTTCAAAAGAGCTGTTTGTTCAGAACATCGCACACTTTACGCTTAAGCACACTGACATGGGTAGTCTTGCATATTGTGTGAAGATGGCCGTTTATGATCATCAATTTACAAATCAGGCGTGCAGCCATAACAGTAGAAAAGGTGATTGCATAAGTACTGACATAGCTTACCTAATTTCCTATAAAGCATGGGGCAGAAAGGACATTCTAGAAATGGGTGTGTACACTCGGTTTGCGTGTAAAATATTATCTAACAGGCGTATTCAAAGCTAATCAGACACTCCATCAGGCTCGTATAGGACAATGAGACATAGCGAGGAGGATTTTGATGTAGAAGTCATACACTCGCACAGAAACACAAAACCTCAGCGCATAGGATTTTGAAAACATTCTGGACAAGCCCATAATTCAAGAAATAAACCGTGCAAAAGATTGTGTCATTGTCACGTAATATGAGACATTATATAAGATTGCTATCATGATAAGGAAGGTGCATTCCTTGTCTATGTGGTCTCTGTGTACGATGGCTCTCCACTGGGACAACTCAGTAGAAGACTCATAAAAGGCAGTAAATATGTTAAAAAGTTGTTTCATTCTTGATGCGATTGAAACCTAGGTTTGGCGATTTTTTCTACTAAAGTAAAAGAGATGTTTGGCTGACTTATTGTGAGCAAAATCATCTTCATAGACTGTGAAGAATGTGAAGCCATTAAAACGTAAGCCTGTCGTTAGAGGCTAAACCTGTTAAAGGATGGTGGCCGATAGCTAACTTAGAGATGTTGAAGAATGAGTGGCCGGACAAATGTGTCTCGGTGGTGTAGTGGTAGAGCACACGTCCCCGGATAGCATGATACGCGGGTTCGGTTCCCTCCTGAGGCCGTGTCTTTGCTCACCACTCAATCTTTTAGGTATGTAAGCTTGTCGAATAAAAAAATGCAATTTAACAACTATGCATATGACCCACAGTGAACAATCTATGACTCTTTGAAGAATGTCGAGAATAATAGAAAGTTGGCTGTCTGTGGGAACTACTGCTCCCGTTGTATTTCGTAGATTTTGCTCCTTTATAAAAGAAAGATCTTAGTCAAATTCAATTTTGTAACTTGCTCTCATTAGCTACTTATGAATTGGTGAAAATTTTCTACATTGTGTTCAAAATTAAAGCGATTTTGTGGGAGTGAAGCCTGCCAGTAAGAAATAGAGAACCATCTCATATATTTCGCAGAAGAGCTTCTTTAATTTGAAGTAGGAGCATAGTTACAAGCTCACTGGTAGTCCAGTCACTTTTCCACTTTTTTTTATTGTTTTGCACTATAGACGATTATGGGGCTCGAATTAAATCTAACAAATGTGTAATTTTGCACAAGTGCGATTTAAAGCTAGCCGCATGATGTAAGAAAATGCCTTATCTCTAACAGCTACAGAATTCGCAAGAAAATAAGCAGTCTTCAAAATATCTGTTGCGTCGTGACCTTCGTCAAACGTGATTCAAGAATGAAGAGTGTGTTTGTACGCAATTTTTATGTGCACAGAAATCAATACTTATAGAGCAATTCAAAGGAATAAGATGTAATTTTCATAATCATCGCTATTGTTTGGCTTGGTTTTCCTGTGCAAATCATTTAAGAGGAAATTTAAGGCCAGAAAAAAAACAAGACTCCGAAGAACGAAGATTATAAGCTAGTCTCGCCAATCAAATGGCTTATTGAAGAAGTCTTTACATACGAAAAAAACGCAAAAGACGATTGTCTTGGATTACATTGAAGGGCTCCTGGTTTAGTTATATTCTCCTCAATGAAATATGTTCAATTTAAATATGCTCTGAAACTTTTTGAATTTGAATTTTTGAAGAGTATTTTCCCGAGGAGACTGAAACGTTAGATTCGACTGGGTAAAAAATACGAAATAAACTTGAGACAAAGAGCATGTGAAAATTCGAAGATATCAAACCAAGTCGTGTCTTCTCTTTAGATTGATCGACGAAAGCCATTGACATTTATATATATATGTATATATATATATTTGAAAATATTTTCTGAAACCAGAATCATTACCACACTTAGGACGACAGCCGTCATTAATAAGGATATCATAAACTCAACTCGCTTCGCTTCTTGGTAGAGTTTATTAAAGCGTAAGCTTACTTGATGCTATGCGATACTTTAAATGAAGCCTTATTGTTAACTATTTTCTTCTTCAATCCATGACTAATATATAAAATGGAGAGTTTTGAAGATTTTATCTTCGAAACAGCTACGACGTAATCTATTGTCTTTCAGTGTTTCGCAGAAACATTGCAAGGACTCCACATATCTCATAATACCTAGTCTTTACTAACTTCTTGCAAACATTGTGCCTTTCTCTTAGAGACCAAATACCAGACGTTCCTTTATCACCACTTCACACCATTTTCTAAGGATTCCTTTGCCCATTTGTTCATCTGATAGGAACCGATGAGCAGATCCAGTTTCTAGAAGGCAGCCGTCATGAGCGTGGAGCTTGCACTTTTCCCCAGGGCTCGATGTCGAGCATTTTTTGCGCCCCAACCTTCTTTACACACTCTCTTTACTTCTATAGCAGATTTCTCGCACCTCAGTTGGCAAATTTTATGGCTAGCCAAAAATCTTGTTTAATTCCAATAACTCCAATTCGACAGGATGCAGCTGAAGTGCAAATGCCCCAAGCAGTTAGAGAAAGCGTAGGAGGTGGACTGTGACATCACTTCGGGTGAAGTTATTGCCATGACCTGAAAAAGGTACTTTAGTGAGAAAACTTGAAAGACATTTCCCAAGATCGTGCCACGCGAAGTGCTTCTTATCCCTAGTATACGTGCTTCTTCTAGCTAAATGCTAACGTTCGTGCCGAGTGCTTTCGCAAGATCACGCTCAAATTTCAATGTGCCTAGAAATTATTTTTGAGCCATGCATGTCATCTGCTATGGGCACTTATACAGTAATATACATGTGTTTTGGCCGTGAAGCCTCGCCAGCTGCTCGGTGCTTTTCATCTGAGCCGAATAATAATGAAGGGAATAGTGTGATATTTCACGATTACCAACCAAGAGCAATCGAGTGTACAAAATTGCCATTTAGCGATTCCTTCACTTCATGACACGTGTAAATACTACGCCCACGGTTCATTTGTTCTAGGGGGGCCTCCAAGAGGGATTTGTTCAGACAAAAGGACCGTGCAATTGGAGAGGCTGCAAGGCCGAAACACTTGTTTAGCACTGTTAGCACCGTGTAATTGCTCATAGCAGACCACATGCATGGCTCAGAAATAATTGTCAGGCATATTGAAATGCTAATTATGTTGTTATGAGTGCCTGTTTTCTAATGGTAACACCAAATTCCATCAAAACTTGGCATGGATGATATAATTTCCTTGCTTTGACGCACACATAACATTGTACAAAACTAGCGGTGCTCCACCATGTTTGATACAAGGCTACAGCGGTCAGCTTCACGAAATACACTTTTTTTTTTTGAAGGCGATCCGTAAAAGTGTGAACTACAATACAAAATGAAGATCTATAGTAGTCCTTTGTCAGCTCATTAATAAGGCAAGACATTGTCTGTTGTACCGGTACTGCTGAGCTATGCTGTCTAAACGGTCAGCTGATTTGATGATAGCTGTAAATGAGATATCAATTCGGCAACTTTTCCTACTTGAATGCAAGTTTTTACCATTTTCTTGCATTATTCTTCAAAAACGGAATAAGTAGTGGTTGAAATTCTTTTACGAAGTCTATGCGTCCAGGTTGAGCTAAGCGAATCTGCAGATGCGTTAACTGCGAGTGAATCAATGCAGGGAGCAGCCGTGGTTACCGGATTTTACGATAAAATTTCATTTCTTTTCGTCAGGAAGTGTTTCTGACAAGCGTCTGTTATTTACTGCAAAGGCCAGTGAGAGCTTGATAATGTTTATTGATTCTAATAAATCAGTGCAGCTGGTAATGAGGAAACAACATTAAAGGACTACATAAATCAAACGAAAAAGTCAATCTGGTTCGCCCTGCACAAAACGAATTGAAACCTAAAAATGAAGTTTAAACTAGTTTTGCATAGAATCTTTTGCATAAAATCTACAAATAGAACAGTCTTAGAAAAAATTTTATTCTACTGATGGTAGTTAAGGCGGCACACCGTGGATCGTTGATTATCCAGGCGCAACGACTGTGGACGCTATTTCAAATGGCTTGAAGCACGACCAGCACCGCGAACCGTTCTCCCAAAAAAACCCCCCTTATAATCACGTAGGTGCCGGTCTGTTCGTTCACGGAAAATTTTCTCGAGCAACATAATATTTTTCACATAACTTATTACAACATAAAAGGTTGTGCAAATGTGATAAATGTACAACAGCTTGATTACTCGTTAATGAATAAATAAATTTGAAAGGTAGTTTTTCTCCTACTACAAGCTTAAGAAATATTTTGAAAGCCGTGTAATCAAAATCAATCAGATTGGTCTCACCAGTCTATTAGATACTAAATAATCTTATTACAACTCTTTCAAATATATTGACCAGGTTTTTACAAAGTTAACTGCCAGCAATCAAGAATCTGCCAAATACGTCTGCTAAGATCACGTTCCTTTCCCAATCTTTTCTTATATTGTCGACTTCATTTATTGGCTAACTTCTAAATTAACGGTAACATTTGGTGTGAAATATGGTTACGAGAATGCTGAGATACGAATAAAATTCGAGGCCTGAAATGAGCCGCACCCTGGTAATAACCCTTCAGTATGGTCTTTTCGAATCGAGGATAAATTTAATCTTGGCTCCAGCTTCACTTAGAGTTTTGCCAACTTGTGCTCTCTAGATCAATTCCGTTGACGGGAGATTGCTGACAGCTGCTAAAGCCATTAAAATATGGCAGGAAAAAGCAGAGGGTTGGTCGATGGTGTGTGAAAGACTTAGTGAGCCTCTAGAAAGGGTAATCGCGCATTTGCAGCAATCTCAAGCTTCAAGTTTTGTCGTGCTTCAGCTCTCTTACAGTATATCAGATTTTTATTGATATTATAAGACTCTAGTCTTCATGATTGATTAAGTAACTTTCACGTGTTCAAAGAGTATCAAATAGCACGATCTCTGTTTCAATTGATGAAGCTCTTTTGTAGTCAGGTATACATAAAATTGTAGTAAGCTATCAAATGCCTATGTTGTTTTCGGGATAGCATACATAAAAGGCGGATTTTGTTGTAATAAAGTTAATCAGTTGTGAGAATTCTGAAATTTTGGATCCAAACTTCTCTGGCTAAGATTTCTATAGTTTCTCATATGGTGATGCTTTCGTTGCAATATTTTTCTTGAAATGACTACCCTAATACTTTTTAAGCCCCGGAAAAGTCAGCTGATTAACAGTGTACTCAGGCAAGTGCATCGTAACCCTGACGAAAAAAGTAGACCTATATTCTCAATTACGTGATGAGCAATTTCTCTGAAATCAATGACGTGATGAGTGATTTCTCCGAAATAGTTATCACTCTTTCCGCCCTTCATTTAGTAGAGTAGAATAAAGCAATTTCAAAGATTAAGAGTGGACGCGAAAACGGTGAGTGAAGTAGAAATGGATACATGGATCGGTGAGAATTATTACATATGAGGTGGGAGATGAAGTCAAGCAATTCAAGTATCAAATATCCTCTAAAATCTTGCACTGTATGTCATAAATTACTTGTTATTGTTATTATACGCAAATCAAAGCTCCAAGTTCAACATATTCTCCGACAAATTTTTGTGTACTTCATGGATAGCAAAGTACCAAGTTTATCTTCTGGTTTCTCATATAACTACTTCAGTATCTAAGCTTATACAGTTATGGTCTCTGTTAGACCATCGTGCAAGCTCATGTTGTACCTAAACGTTCATGCAAG